ATAGCCACTGCCCTAGGTACAGTGCAAGGCATTCTTAAAAATGTGAGTTGATGAAATGAATGAGCCGATGACCACAAAGCAGTGTGGACAGCACAGGAGAAACACTGAGCACAGAATCAAGGCATTGACCAAGTGTCCCTCCTGCCCCTCACTGAATGTGTGGTCTTTGCCATGTCCCTTCACGGGGGGTCCTTGGATTTTCACTCTTGTGAGGGAATCATAGCACCCAATGATGGTACAAAGGAAGACAGCGAGATCATTGCCAAGGAAACATTCAGTGGCCTGAGAGGATGTGCAGGGCAGGGGAAGCTGAGTCGCTGTGGTTTATTCATTGCTGCCTTGTAGCCAGGGCTCCATAAAAGCTGGCCATGATATTGAGCATAACCAGGAAGAGCATAGTGGTGTTCCTGGTAGGCAAAGCCCTAGGGTAGCATGTTCCTTGTCTCAATTTTGCTCTGGGCTTGTTTTCTGCCCCTACCCCTGATAGTGAGTTGTGAATCCTGCATCCGGGGGCTAAAAGGGGGGAAGGCTAGTTACCAAGAGGACTGGTAGGTCAGAAGGGGTCACCACACACCCATGTTTATTGCAGCTTTGTTCACAATAGCAAGGAGTTGGAAACAACCTAAGTGCCCATCAACAAACGAATGGCTAGAGAAGCTGTGGTATATTCGCACAATGGAATACTATGCTGCATTGAAAAACAAGGAACTCATGCAATATTATTCAAAATGGTTGACTCTGGAGAACATTATGCTGAGTGAAATATCCCAGTCACAAAAGGACAAATATTACATGATGCCACTGTTGTAGAATGGGACTGTCCTTGGGGTTGGGGAGAGACTGAGTAAGATGGGTTCAATAATGTGTACTGCACTGAAACAGAGGAGGGAGAAAACTGTTTAAAAGAGAGATATAACTGGGTATTTCTGTCATCACAGGAGACTAGAGCGAGGGCTACATGGTGGAGGGGACCTGGGGGAGGGTTTGTAAAACAATGAAAGAATCTTTTCTTTTACTTTTCCATAATTTTTGGACTCATGTACTTATAACTTGTTAGTCAAATTTGTGTCTTCTAGGTTGCAACACCCCCATGATACATCTTCAAGGATATAAACATGTACGGCCAAGCACACTCAATAAGAGTGCATCTAAATCCCAAAATCAATCTCCATAATAGTCTATGTGTTTCCTACTGCCAAAGGGGCCCTTTAGAGTAGTGAGAGAAGATCTTCACCCTGAAACCCACAGCGTCCCTTTTCAGCAGGAAGTAGCTAAGAGAATACGCCATCCCCTTTTCCTTATGACTCAGGGTGAAGTCTCTCTCAGGGAGGAGTGATAGGGAATGGCAAAGGACACACTGACAAAGAAGATTAATCAGAACTGGCTTTGACAAGCACTGTGGCATTTGGACAAGAACAAACTGGGAGGAGGGTAGAGAGAATAGTGCAACAAGGAATGAATGGAAACCCAAAATCTCTGTCAATGTTTATGAAAATTAATTAAATATAGAAAAAAAAAGAAGGGGTCACCAGCAGCTACAAGAACACTGAGCCCTAAAGTGCTCCTGTCCCTCAATAGAGGAAAGGGGTCAGGAATGCCAATGCCTGATGACAAGAGGCTACGGCACCTCCCCAGCACCCTTCTGAGGCACACAGACAGTGAGGGCATACATTGGCCATGATGGCCCCGGGGCAGCCAGGAGGATGAGGCATATCTGTCTTTGGAAGGATTGACCAGCTAAAGCTAAGCTAAGCTGAGCTGCTGATTCCTTTAATCAGCTTAAAGGGAGTGTGGGGGCGAGGAACGAGGGAGCGAGTGATGGAGTGGTAGCAGGTGGAGCAGAGGCAGGTATGAACAGCCTATCCTTATAGCTTATATAGTTGAATCAGCTGGTAGCCCACAGGCTGCCAGAAGGAATAAGAAATGGAGCAAGCAGACTCTCCCCAGCGCATATGTGGGGAAAGCTGTACTCTGCTTGGTGTTCAGTTCTCAGCAAAGTCTGTGGCCAATCTCAGCAACAAACAAGTAGAACAAGGGGATGTAGGTGAGCCTGGGCTTTGCCACTAAGCCTCAGAATGACTCTTCATCTGAGAGCCTGCCTGTGAAAAATTCTAGAATGTGGTGTAAGATTATTTACAAATTAAAGATTATTAGCAACAGTGAGTTCAGCTGAGATTAGGAAAGGGATGGAGATAGAGATACAGGCACCAAACCAACCAAATAGGGAACACTCCTGATCTGGATGGTTTCCTGTGTGACTTTGCATAAGTTACTTCATCTCTCTGAGCCTCAAGATCCTAGAAAAGGAATGTTGTCCTGCTCGCAGTGCCCTGAGAACTTAAGCTTCAGGAAACAGACTCTTTCCAAAAAAAACAAAGTCCTTTCAAGTGTATTCACAGCCTGGGCAGCTTAAACCTCAAGGATTTCCCAAACTGGATTGGAGTAAATGTTAGTTCTTTGGCCATTTGGTCCAGTTAGACATGGAGCTCCTAACAGTCTAGAAATGGACTTTTTCTGCTTGCTAACAGTTGAGTAATTTTCCAGAAACAGGACTTGGCCAGTTTCCCCGTATAAGGTACCAGCCCATTCCTCTTACATAAGAATGTATTGTTTACTCCCCTAGAGGATTTCGGAGGCCAGTGCCTGTGTGAGTCACAACCCAAGAGGCCCGGAGCTACAGCCCAGACAGGGGTGACAGGTCTGTGGCCCAGGCAGGGTGGAATTAGGGCTCACCCTGTGGAGGCTCAGCCTCACCCCTGTGGGAACAGGAAAAGAGGGCTGAAGCATCTGTGGGATCCTGGGGAGGCATGTGTGGTTTGCATTCTTCCTACTTCAGAGCTCTTCACCTGATTGGTGTGTATATGAAGGAGGGGGCTAGAGGGTGTGAAGAGAAGCAGTTATTTTAATTAGGAGTATCTTTACTTGTATTCAGTTATTTGTTTTGTTTTCCTAATATAGAATCATTGTAAAGAATTATAAAATAACCTTGTGAAAATGAAAGCCCTAAAAAAAAAAAAAGAAAGCCCTTTTTTTTTCCAATGCAATAAAATTTCTTGAGAACACAGTATAGTACAAGATGGAAAATATTTAACTGAAAAATATTTTGTAGTAAAGACATGTGATTTAAGTGAACAATATTTTGAGATATCATTACCAGATAATGATCTAAAATGTTACCATTTATCTTAAGTTGAAAGAAATACCAAAAAGAATAATAAAACTTTAAGAAAGCAAAGGAATGACAAAGTTTAGAATAGTGGTTGCTTGAAGAGGAAGGGGATATGGAAGCAAACAGTATCAGCACCAGGCTGATTGGCAATGCATTGTTCATTAGATAGGTGTTCTCTCTCTCTCTCTCTCCCTCTTTGTGTGTGTCTTGAGGCAGAGATTTCAAAATATAAAGATAATAAAAACAAATCAGAATAATTCACATTTTTATGACCTTCACATTTGGTTTTGAAATCACACATGTACACATATATGACATCTAATGAAACACATCACCAACCAACCCAATACCAATGCCTTTTGTGCCCACATGCCCTTCCTCTCCAGGCAGCCATTATGAATGTTGTGGAAAGCCCTTTTCTTATCCGCCATCCGATTACTGCTAAGAGTTGATGCACAAGCACTCAAATATTTTTAAACAAACATATTTTTAAAATCAAAAGCAGGACCATGCTTGGTGTATTACTCTGCAAATGGTATTATGGACATCTTTTCATGTCAGCACAGAAAACTCTGACTGTTCTTTTCTACAACAGTCCCCTGATGCTGGACACTTAATTTGTTTCTAGTTTGTCTGTTATTAGAAATCCCAGAGTCCCTGGGAGGTGCAAACAATCAATGCACTGGACTACTAACCAAAAGGGTAGCTTCAGGTTCACCCAGAGATACCTCTGAAGAAATGCCTGAACAGCTACTTCTGAAATTGCCGCGGACAGGAGTTCTTGTGGCCTAGTCCATAGGGTGTTATGTTGTTAGCCAAAAGGCTGCATGTCTTCAGGGTTCAAATCCACTAGCTGCTCCAAAGGAGAAAGATGGGCAGTCTTGGAAACCCCAAGGAGAGTCACTATGAACTAGAATCAATGTGACAGCAGTGTGTGAGAAGTGAAATTGTGGATGATAATTCTACCCTGACATATGGGGTCACCATGAGCCAGAATCAACTCTATGGCAATTAGTTGGCAGTTAAACAGACTCCTACAAAGAATCCCAGTGTGTTGGTCCAATTTCTTCTAATTTTAAGAAATGGACTCTAGATGGAAAGGTCTGCATGTTTAAAATGTTAGAGAGGGAGCACTGTAGTGGGGTCCATAGGGAGTTACACTGCTAATCCAAAGGACGGGTGCCTTTCTGGTGGTTTCAGTTCATTTTTGATAGCTCCAAGGGAGAAAGATGGGCAATCTCCTCTCAAGTGATTTATAGCCAATGGCGGGTCAGCTATGAGTTGGTTCTGCTTCACAGCAATGAGTGAGGGGAGTTAGAGAGCATCTAGCCCACGATGTCGGTTTGGCGTCCCACCATTAGGACAGGTGTGTGCTAGGCCATGTTTCCTTCAGTCCAGTGTTGCCACACTATCTTTCCCTCCTGAGCCCAGCATCATCTCGGGAACACTAAGACTATGACTCATTGCTTCCTGTTCTCCAATAGTCCTTATTTTGAACCACTTCCTCTCCATAGCAAAACGTATGTTACTCCCTTCCCCCACGTTCCTCTTCCAGGGCATCAACATCACTGGAGTAAGAGGAGAGGGGGGAAAGTCTTCTTCTCAGTTACTAATACTGTTGAGACTCAGTGTGGAAACATTTACAGAACAATTTTGTTGTCAGTATCCATATCATCAAAGAGACGTAATTTACAACTGTATTTATCACATAACACCATCTGATTGAAATTGATAATAAATTTTTTTTTTAAAATCACTGAGGTTCTGAGCTTCCCTAAAGCAACAACAAGAGATCCTGATCCCCTCCACAACTTAGAAGCATTCTGCTTACCTGAAACACATCTCCATTGACTGTAGTACCCATGTCTTCAGAGCCACCTACAGAGAGAACAAGGAGACAGCATTGCTCATTGCTTCACTGCTAGGGAGCATGGACTGATGCTGCCTTTGTGCCTGAGCCAGCTTCTGTACATGCCCACTGATGCACATAAACATGCACAGACATAATAGGTACATAAATAACAGGCTCCATCCTTGACTGTTGACCAAGCCTTCTGTCAGCCATTACCACATTTTATTTCCACTACAACCCTCTGATGAAGCTGTTATGAACTCATTTTACAGATTGTCAACCTGAGGCTCAGGATATGTGATTGCTCAAGGTTATCTAACCAGTAATATCTCCACACCTACCTGACATTAATTTACCCACAGCTGAGACCGGGAATGGCCTGAATGTCCGCGGAGTCTATGCTGGTGAGTAGGCAGAGATGCTGGAGGCTGAGGGCGGGGCCAGAGGCCATGGAAGAGAGCGACCTTCGTGTTCCTGCCTGTCCCTGCAGTGCCTCCAACAACTGCTCCATCTGGGAGAGCAGGAATCGCAGTCCCCAATGGGCAGAACTTGCCCTATTTCTTCTCCTTCTGCCCCTCCCAGAAGGAATTTTCTTCTGCCATCATCAGTGACTCCTCCCGGTCTTTCCCCGATAGTTGATTAATCACAAATTCATGTAGTTCCTGCTGTAGCTGTGACCCTCCAGGCTGCCCTGCCCTTTCTAAATCCTACCCTGGCCCTTATAAGCTCAACTTTTTAGTTCTGTCTGCCTGCTGGTGGTAAAGACCTGGGAAGAGGTCCCTGGGTCTCTTTCTCCTCACAAATGTTTTCCTCAGAGCCTATGACTTAGTAAGAGCACAGTAACTATTTGCTAAGTAAATAAATGCGCTACGTTAAAGACTGGATGAATGAATAGTGGCTTTTGCCCACACACGTCTCTCTTGCCTCCAAGTTCACTTCTTGACCTCTTTCAAAGCAAGTGCCACAAGTTGACTTTAAAAAAAAAAAAAAGTCCCTCTCTGATTAAAAATACAAACACCAATCAAGAAATCTACTTTCTGTGTGTTCTACCTTGGGGACTTAGCAGGTGCTATTCCTCCTGCATGGAAGGTTGTTCCATGCATTTCCACATGGCCCCCTCCTTCACATCCTTCAGTCTTTTTTTTTTTTAATTAAATTTTATTAGTTTTAATGAACATTCCTTCAGTCTTATTCTGGGCTTCCCTTAACAGTCCCCTTCCCCAAAGTCTGACATGTTCATTTGCATATATGCTTATTATCCATATACAATATGGACTGATCCAGGCCATGGTCTTCTCAATTGCATCTGGGAGCTGAACAATGACTAAGGATGACAGAAGAATTTTGAGTTGTGGTGCTAGAGGAGAGTCTTGAACATACCAGGACTGCCAAGAGAATAAATGGGTCTGTCCTGGAGAGGGTGAAACAAGTTTGCTCCTGGGAGGCAAGGATTTTGAAGCTCCATCTTACATTCTTTAGGCATGTTGCCAGGAGGGACCAGTCGTTGGAGAAGGACACCATGCTTGGAAGGTTGGAAGGTCAGGACAGAAGAGGAAGACTCTGGATGAGATGGTTTGACACAGTGACTGTGGCAATGGGATCAGCTGTGTCAGAGACGGTGGGGTTGGCTCAAAATAGGGCAAGGACCAGAGCCGTTGTTCATAGGTTTGCTATCACTTGTAGTTGACTTGATAGCAATAACAACCATGCTTACTGTCTGTGTTCCCCACTTAAAAGAAGCCTTGATTAAGGCAGGGATTTTGTTTTGCCCACTATGTGGTCCCAAAACCAAGAACAGTGTTATAATCTGGGTTCAATATTTGCTGCTTCTGGTGTTATAGTATATTACGTGTGGGGCTGCGAACCAAAAGGTCAGCAGTTTGAATTCACCAGCAGCTCCAAGGGAGAAAGATGATTAGGTCCTCCAGCCCCACCAGTAAAGACTTACAGCCTCAGGAACCTGGTGGAGGGGGTCGCCACAAGCTAACTTCACTGCAGTGGTTTTGTAAGTGTTTGCTGAATGCTGATCACAAGAGGCTCCTCACAATTTGGGTCTGCCACTTTCCTGCTTTGCTTCCCACCTGTCCCATATCCCAAATTCTGATTCCCTGTTCCCCATACACATGTTCCTCACTCTAGGCCTTGCTTCCTGCTTCCCTCTCTTTCCCCAGAGGATGGTCTTTCAAGTTCACTTCTCTGAGGATCTATTTACAAGTCACCTCGACTTCCCTAGGGACTGATGGCATCCATTACCCTCTTGTGAAATTACTTGTGATCTTCCCCCTCCAGGCCCCAGGGCTATGGACTCCCTTATTTGGCCTCCATCGATCTGTTTCAACTCCTAAGGACTCCTGTACAGAAGAAGCAACTAAGAACTGGTGGCTAAATGGAGGCTGAAATGCTCTTTGGCAACCTGCTGCTACTGGACCCTCAAAAACTGCCATGCCTCCTAGCACAGAGCTGCAGGAGGCCGCGCGGATTACCACAGATGGACAAATACCCTTTTCTCAACCAGACAGTGCTGTGAAAAACAGCAACAATGCTTTTAGACTGGTGAAGGAAGGATACCTAATCCCAGAAATAATTCCCATAATCCTGATTTACTGTGTCAGCTCTCACCCCCACGCATTCTATCTGAGCAGAATTACAGGTTATTCCCACTTGGTTCCTTTATCAAAGGTGGCGCTGACAGTAAGGGTTTCAGTGGCAGCATCTTCTGCAGAGAATCTTCTGGAGGGTCTCCTTCCTCTCCCAGGGTCCATTCTCAGGATGATGCTTGATCTTTCCACAGCACTAACTACACATCGCCACATACTTACCCACTGCAGTCAGAACCCTCGTCTGCCCAACCTAGTTTTCAGAAAGTCCCTCTGCTCCAGTCCCTCAGACCTGTGAGCATACCTGGAGAGGAAGTATCTTCCTACCTCAGCTTCAGCCATCTTTAAGAATTCCACACACCACCCCCACCCCCCCAATACACAGAATTATGATTCGTCTGTTGCATATTTACAATCATGTGTCCACAGACATGGGCCAGCACAATGGGAGTGCAACTTCTGCGAGGCCAAGGGATAATCTTATGAGCATTGCTTCCCTCAGCTCCCTGATCCCTTTTGGAATAGAGGTAGAGAGGGTCCAGAACACTCCAGCCTGCTGAGAAAGGAGAAAGGGACTCGCCCTGAACTGAGCAGGCAAGTCAGAGGCAGAGCCAGGTGCAGTGCTGGGAAATGTAAATGAAATGGGTGTGAAAATGTGAACTTTTGGGGCCCTACCCAAGGCTGATGAATGGAAACAAAGTGTCCTTAGCACAGGCTGGCCAAGCACCAGTCCAAGAGCACAGGCAGAGCGGGGCTCAGGCCTAAACCTGATACCTCTAACCCAGGAGCACATGGGAGTCTGACGTCAGGGCACCCAGAGCAGAGACTGCAGAGAGAGGGCAACTCCAGAGATGCTGGCTGACAGCTGCTCTGCAGCCAGCCTCTGCTCAGCTTTGAGTGGGCCCAGGCAATTTCCCTCAGCCCTGTCTAGACTTATAGATGTCCCCACTTGGAACAAAGAGTTAACATGTTCAGCTACTAAATGATAGGTTGAAGGTTCCTGTCCCTCCAAGGGGAAGCTCGGAAGAAAGGCTTGGCAATCTACTTCAGAAAAAAATGAACTACTGAAAACCATATGTGCTCTACTCTGACATATCCATGGAGCCACCATGAGTTAAAAATTACTCGGGGGCAACTGCTTCCGGTGATTTGATTGCTTGATTGATTGATTCCCTTCTTCAGCTCCTCACACTCACTCTTCATCCAGAGAGGATTATGTACCAGTCCCACACCACCTAGATCTAAAAATGTCAGATCAATTCCATCCTATTCGGGCCTCATACTCAGCTGCCATCCTGCAACACCTGCCTGTTTCCTATGCCCCACTTAGAAGACAGTGAAGCATTTACAGCTTCAGCAAGTACAAGGCGGAGAGACCTCCATCCCCAGAGGACAAATTCCTGGCAGCTCCCTGGAAGAAGTGAGCATGCCATCACTTCTTTCCCTGCTACCTGAGTCTGCAGCCAATTCCACCAGTGCCAGAGAAGGAAGTGAGACTATAAGTGCCTGGAGCCCCAAGGCCTGGGAGAGTCAACTGCTCAACTTACAGACACTTCTGGCTGCCCTCAGCTTGCATTCTACTTGTCCTTTCTAATGGCATTCTGGCCTCTCCACAAGGCCACTCTCAAGCCAAGCTAGATGAGACCGGAATGGTCTCAAGAAGGCGTGAATAAATTAATGCTAGTGTATGGAAGCGGCTGGGTATCTCCTATGAATTTCCTGGGACAGGTAGGTGTCCAGGTTGAAGTGGCCAAGAGTTGTTCTCTGGGAAGACTCTACTCCTGGCTTAGTTGGGTAGCAAAAGACCCTTCGTCTCCCATCCCATCATCTCCTAGGGATACTGTTATAATATTTGAAAGCATGGAGCACAGCATTAGAAAGCTTGGAATTAAATCCCAGATCTGTCACTTACTGGCTGTGTAATTCTGTGCAAGACACAAGGCTCTCTGGGCTTCCTGTATTACATTTCTCATTTCAAAGGGTACAGAGATACTCCACTAGAACTATCTTATTTCAGCCACTAGAACTATCTTATTTTCGCCTATCTACAGTGTTTCTATTTGCCTCCTTTTCATAGGAAATGCCCAACTGCTTTTGAGGCAAATAGTAGGAGCTTCAACAGTTAAATGAATAAAAACATGACTATAAAAAGCCTTGTTGTTGCTTTTGTGTGCTGTTGAGTGGGAACCAACTCATAGTTGACCCTCAAGCGGGTTTTCAGAGGCAGTAAATTGCACAGGAAGAACCGTTTAGGGCAGCTTCTTACCACTAGGCCTCCAGGGCTTTGCAAGGATCACTTTTAACTACAAACCCTTTAAACTTATTACAGTGACAACATTAACAGGAAATATGTCTGGCACAAACTCATTAGGGTGGTATCTTTATTTTAGCAAGTAAAACTTAAAACTGTTTCTTTAAGCCCATAATGAATGCAGAGGTATCACTGACACACACTCCAGCACAGGAACCAGGCCCTGAATCCTGAGGTCAGGACAACTACAATAATCCTGACCATCTTTGGAAAGGCATTAAGCAGACAGTTATAAACCTCTGGAGGGCAGGGTCACAGCTGACTAATGCCTCTTTGTGCCCATCCCATGCTATTACTGTGTTTCTAAGTTACAGCCAGTTTCAGGGAAGACTGTAGTCAGGTGGAGAGGACTTTGAGTTGGACAGAAACAGGGTTAAAATCCTGGCTCTGTCTCTGACTCTGCTCCATAAAGGTACCTCTTCAGGCCTCAGTTTTTCCATCTCTGAAATGGGTATAATATGAAAGGCTTAAACATAAGTGTCTAGTCCAGTGGTTGCAGAATGACAGGTGATCCAAAGGGAAGATTTATGAGTTCCCAGTCTTCCCTGTTTTCCCAGTTGCTTGAGAGCGAAACCCAAGGAGAGGAAAGTTCTTTGCAACCAGCACTCCACTGTCCTCGCTCAGCTGGGCGCCTGGGGTGAGCCAAGCTGTCCCAGGCTCAGGAGAGATTGCTGGACTGGGCTAGTGTTAGATACCGGAGCCCAGCGGTAAGGAGGTAGCCTGAGGATGAAATGTCATGACTGAATTCCTGTTCGAGGAGTCATCAGATCCTCAGCCCAGGCAGGGCCTCCAGCTCAGTCCAGCTCCGAGATCGGAGATCCTCATACTGGTTCTCAGAGAATAGTCCTCCGTATTTCCCGGTGGTCCCCCCACTCACAGCAAGCTCCCTGGCATGATCCTGGACAGCCCGGACCGCCCCCTGTGTTCTGGCCTCGGTACCCCGTGCTGAGCCCCAGGGCCCGGCGCTGACTCACCCGCGCTCGCGAGTCCCGGCTGCGCGGGGGCCGCCTGGCCGCCCGCAGGTGCCCCGAAGCCCTCATCATTCTCTATGCCGGCGATCTCACTCTCCTGCTGGGCCAGGAAGGCGGCCGCCGGGTCCTCCTCGGACGCGTCGGGGGCCCCGCTCTCCGATGACGAGAAGAAGCCAAAGTCATCAGCCATTTTCCCCGCGTCTCCGCCGCAGCCTCCGCCCGGCGCTAGGCTCGGCCCAGCGGTGCCCGCTCTGCGCCCGCGGCGGCGACGCTGTCTCCGGAGGCGCCCGGGGAGCCGGCCTCGGCGGAGCTGGCTCTGCGGCCGCCGCGCTTCCTCTCCGCACCAGGCCCGGCTTGTCTGTCACTGCGGCTGCAGGCGCCGCGGCGGGAGGAGCCGGCGACGGGAATGCGGTGATGTCACCGACCGAGGGAGGGGGGCCGCGGGGCGGCCGGCAGGTCGCCTCGCCGTGGCCACAGGAGGGCGGCAGCGCGACGGCGGGGCTACACTCCGGGCTCGCTGCCCCGGCGCCGCTCCGGTCCTGAAGAGCAACTCTGACCCAAGGGGACAGAGAAAGTGACCACAGCACGTGCCCAGGGCACCAAGGTCTGGGAGCGCCGGTCCGGGAGCACGCAGGCGTGACGGCTGCGCAGACCCAGCTCCGCAACTTTTTTTCCGCTCAAAACAAACAAATGAACCAAACACTTAGTTGTTATCCAAGCAATGACGATTCGTGGCGACCCCATGCATGACAGAGTAAAATACTGGGAAAGATGAGATGTATTCAGGGTCCCACACAGTCCCGCGGCTTCTCTCCATATTTTTTTTTTTTTCCCCATCCAAGTTCAGGGTCTTTCCCAATAGGCTGTAATGCTTTTAGTCCATTTCTTGATCTTCCTCTTCTTTTGAGGGGGTTGCAGTCATTTAATATAATGACTTCCAGATATTAAGTGAAACGACTGAAACCCTGCTTAGAAACTGGGCCCCTTAAATGTCTCCATAGCTGCAAACAGCTACAAAGAGTTAGACTCCGCTTATTCAAGTTCTTGGGTGGTGTCAAAAATTAACAAACACACTGGGCTATTAATAAAACGTTGAAGGTTCAAGTCGTCCGAGAAGCTTCTTGGAAGAAAGATCTGGCAGTTCACTTCTGAAAAATTAGTCATTGTAAACAACCCTATGAGCAACTATGGCTGCTTTGCCTTGTGGGGCTGCTTTGACAATGCCTAGGCCATGGAGAGATTACAGTCTTTTGAGACCAGCAAATAGTTAACAGCAGTCACAGCACAGTGGGTTAGATGTCTTGTCAGTTTCAGCCCCAGGTTACCGGAAAATTCAGAAAAACACCAATCTGTTTGAACTGTTCTCTTGTCTTTTTTCTTTCTTTTTTCCTTTTTTTAAAAAATTATTTTCTTTTTCTGATATGAATCTTAAAAGTCAATTGTGATGACCCAGCTATTGCACTACTTGGAATATACCCTGAGAATATGAGAACTGAGGTACAAACTGAGATTTGCACACCAATGTTCGTAGCAGCATTATTTACCATCACAAGGACATGGAAACAGCCCAGGTGTCTAACCACAAACAAATTGGTTGAGAAATTATGGTACATTCACACGATGGAATACTATGCAGCACGCAGGAGCAATAACTTTGTAAATTATTACCTAACTTGGGAGGGACTAGAGAGCATTCTGCTGAGTGAACTAATTCAGTCCCACAGGATTAATGTTGTAAAAAGACTGTTATTGTAGAATGAGTATAAGGATCCAGGAGGGGTGGGAGAGGCTGGAAGCAGAGGGATATGGATGTACAGTGGGAAGAGGGAATTAATCATTGGGTTGTACAATTTGATTGGGGGGGAGTGAGGGAAATTGAAAGGATTTGTTCGAATTTGTATTAGAATTTTGTAAATAAACTGTTGTTGTTGTTATGTGCCATCGAATCGCTTGCAACTCATGGCGACCCTACGTACAAGAGCTCTAAACGCTCTTCTATCCTGTGCCAACCTCACCATCTCAAACGCACTTATTCCCACCTTTCCAGTCACAGAATCGATCCATCTCATCGAAGGTCTTTCTCTCCTTCGACGCCCCTCCACTCTGCTAAACATGATGTCCCTCTCCAAGGACCAGTCTCTCCTTGCAACATGCCCGAAATATGTCAGATGAAGCTTCAGAATCCTTGACTCCAAGGAGGATTCTGGCTTCACCCTCTCCAGGACAAACCTGTTTGTTCTCCTAGCAGTCCATGGTATATTCAACACTCTTCTCCAGCACCACAACTCAAAGGTATCAATTCTCTTCCTATCAACCCTATTCACTGTCCAACTCTCTGATGTATAGCACGTAATTGTGAAGACTATAGCCCGGATCAGGCACACCTTAGTCTCCAGTCTGACATCATTGCTCTTCACAGCTGACTTTCCCAATGCAATTCGTCTCTTGATTTCCTGGCTGCTGTTACCAAGAGTGTTGATTGTGAAGCCAAGTAAACTAAAATTGTTAACTATCTCAAGCACTTTCTTTATATAAAGGTTATTGACACTCTGGGTTCACCATCCATACTGATGCTGCCAATTGGCCCAGTGGTGAGAATCTTTGTTTTCTTGATGTTGAGCTTCAGTTCATATAGGAGGCTGTAGTCATTGATCTTCTGCAGCAAGCGCTTCAGGTCCTCCTCAGTTTCAGCAAGCAGGGTTGTGTCATCTGCATAACGCAGGCTGTTGATGATTCTTCCACCAATCCTGATGCCACATTCCTCTTTGTATAGCCCAATGTCACAGATGATCTGTTCTGCATACAGATTGAAAAGGTATGGAGACAGAATACAACCCTGACGGACTCCCTTCTTTATTTTGAACCATGTAGTGTCTCCTTGCTCTGTTCTGACAACTGCCTCTTGGTCCAAGTATAAGTTTCATATTAGTACAATCAAATGTTCTGGGATTCCCATTCTTCTCAGAATCAGCCACAGCTTGTTGTGATCCACACAGTCAAAAGCCTCTGCATAGTCAATGAAGCACAGATAGACATTCTTCTGGTATTCTCTGCTTTCTGCCAAGATCCATCTAACATTAGCTATAATATCCCTAGTACCAAGACCTCTTCTAAATCCAGCCTGCACATCTGGCAATTCTCTGTTGACATGTTGTTCCAAACGTTTTTTCAAACGTTTTTTGGTAATTTTCAGCAGAATATTGCTTGCATGTGATATAAAAAAAAATTAATCACCCTTTTTAAAAAAAAGTCAGTTGTGAATTCTGGACTGGAAGAAAGAAGGAAAAGGTTATACCCCAAGCCGAAGGCAGTGGTTCTCTGGGGAGAGGGTGGAAGGGGAGCTGGGTGACAGGGACTTTCACTTTTACTTAGTAACACTTTGGTGTGAGTTTAGATCTTGAAAATGAAAATGCAGTTATCAGTTAGTCAAGTCAAGTGAACTCCCACTGAAGGCAACCCCTATGTATGGCAGATTAAAATGCTGCCAAGTTCACAATCAGCTTTGCTATGTTTAAGTTCATTACTGCAGTCACTGTGTATTTTGTACATATTGTGATGCTGATTTAAAGTCTCAAATCCATCTTTTACTTAGAGGTAAGGTGAGCAGTGTCCTCCCATAAGATTTTACCATTTTGAAAACCCTGTAGAGGATTCCTGTAAGTCAGAATCATGTTGACTGCAGCAGTTGAATTTTCTAACCTAGGGAATCTCATTCCTTCTTTCCAAATTTTGCTTTACAGTCACTAATTATTATGAATGCATTTTAGTTGAATGTTCAAACAATTTTAGACTGCAAAAGTTGGTAGAAGTCCTCAATATGTTTAATCTCTAGCTTTAGAGGTTGGTGTGTATATCTGAAGAATAGTTGTATTAACAGGTTTTCCTTGTGTATGAAGGAATATTATCATATCATCAACAATATTTGTATTTCAGGACAGATCTTGAAATATTCTTTTTTTATAATGACAGTGACATAATTGCTCACCAATATGTTATTCCCAGCATAGCAGACCAGGTGCTTGTCTAATACAAAAATTACCAAACCCAGTCTATTTCAGTCACTCATGCCTAGCTTCTTTTTTTTTTATTTTCTTTTCATGCCTAGCTTATTGATCTTTATTTTTCCATTTCATTTTTTTTACAGTTTCCAGCTTTTCTAGATTCATACGTTGTATATACCACTTTCCAATTAAAGGATTTTTGAAGTTGTTGTTCCTTACTTTGAGTTGTAGCTGCATCACTACTCCATCTATACATCATTAAGGCCGATCCTTTCCCAGTTGAATTTTCAATGCCTGCCTACTAAAGGGTTCATCTACCGGCACTGTGTCAGACAGTAGTCCTCTGATATTCATAGAGTTTTTGAGGGCCAGTTATTTCAGAAATGGGTAGCCAGTTCTGTTTCCTAATCTATCCTAGCTTGGAAGCTCTGCAGAAACCTCTCCACTCTGGGTGACACTGCTGGCATTTGACAGTATCACAACAACACACAAGGCACCACAGCAGGAAAAATGCAAAAGCTGCAAAGAAGGAAGAATCAGTAATTGTAACACATCACCTCGGTGACAGAAATGAAGCAGAAATGATCACATGATGAGATTTTTTACAATCAATTTATTCATTGCAAATAGCTGTTAAAAACCATAAATGGTGATTGTACCCATGAACAATAATAGAACTGGTATTGGCCATTTTGACTCGGACAACTGTACAATTTACTATTCTTGAAATTTATAATTTAAAAAAGAGCATTTCAAGATCTACCCTGAAGCACAATGTTGTGAGTGCTAGGGTACTGTCCTGACTCATGCAAGGAACATCAGTTATTCAAATACAAACACCAATCACTAAAGATGAAGAAACTGAGGCTTTCTAACAACGTTTACAGCCTAAAATTGATCAAACATTCAGTCAAGACACATAATTGATGACAGGAATGTGAAAGTTGGAAATAAAGAAGGTAGTTGGGAACTATGGCCTTGGTGACAAACGAGACTGGAGATCAAATGAAAGAATTGTGCACAATGGTTGTTAATCATAAATATCTTTTTAAAAGAAACATAAATGTTAACTATACACATGGACCAGATGGACCTCACTGGAATGAAAACACAGAAATCTGTGGAAAGAGATGATAGAAAAGCTCAATATCAGCATTCAAAACCAGGTCAGGGACTGACTGTAAAATAAACCATCAATTATTCATATACAAGTACAGACTGAAAGTCAAGAAAATCCAAACAAGTCCATCAGACTCAAAAAACAACCATGGATTTATCCAAACATACTTTAAAATAAAATCCATCTCAAGAATAGACTCCAATAAGAAATACAGGATCCAAGATGGTGGCAGAGTCAGAGACAGTGTGGTGAGCTGCGGGAGCAGCGAACCACT